AGAAATAAATGTTCAATGTGGGTGGAACAACTGGACGTGAAAAGAATGGTCTACAGAGCAATAGTAAGACCGACAATGGTATATGAATGGAAACAGCTGCTTAAAAAAGTAGAAGGGAAGAAATTAGATGTTACAGAAGTGACGATGCTAAGATGGATGTCTGGAGTGACATGGTTGGACAGAATTAGGAACGAGTACATCAGAGGATCCGTGAAGGTAGCTAAAATATCGAAGAAGGTGCAGGAGGCAACATTCAGATGGTTTGGACATCTGATGAGAAGGACCGATGAAGAATACGGATGGGGAAGACACGGTGGATATGGAAATACCAGGGGCACGGAGAAGGGGAAGGCCAGTAATCTCATGTAAATGCGGACAGGAGAGAGAAAGACGTCAGTCAAAGAGATGCTCAGAACAGAACTCTCTGGAGAAGGCTCATAAGAAACAGCGACCCCTTTAGGGACAAGCTGGGAAGAAAAATAATATGTATATATATAGATAGATAGATAGATAGACAAATAGATAGATAGATAGATAGATGATATATATTGTTACATAATGGTTAAAGAAAATTTTCTTTTACTGAAAATTAAAGCTAACAGGCTCTCAAACAGTAGAAATGACAAGAGAATAATAGAATAGAATAAAAGACTTTACAATAGGAAACCAAGTTCATCATTACAGGTATGATTCACACACACATTATTAAGATATCACAGAACCATACACCATTCAGCATATGCAAACATGGATTAATCACATGCTCCTCTTACCAACTGCATCCACGAAAAGAACATTTAATACCAAAAAAACGAAAACATTTATTCTACCCAGACTTATGCATATCACAAAATACACAAAACTTAATACTTAATAACAATGATTCCTTGCATATTGACATAAGGTGATAATACACATAAACGGGGGGGGGGGGGGGGGGAGAACAGAGAGATGTTGCCTCAGAGAGATCGCACAGAAGAGTGAAATGCGTCAATTCCTCCCATTGGCTAAGAGCCCACGGACATCCAGATGGACTTTCCTTATTGGCAGTGAGCACAAAATGCGCGCGAATTCTCTCAGTCCCTAACGTGATACTGGCTTTAACAATATATATATATATATATATATATATATATATATATATATATATATATATATATATATATATATATATATATATACATACATATATATGTGTGTGTGTGTGTGTGTGTGTATAGATAGATAGATAGATAGATAGATAGATAGATAGACACATTCACACACACATTCTGCCATCATTAGATAGCATCTGTCAGATCCGGCTCCTCCCCCTCTCCTTCCCCTTCCCTTCCGCTCGTATCTCACTCAATGAGACTCTTTCACTCTCCCTGAAGTTAGCTTTCTCTTACTTCTCCCTTCTTGACAGACAAACTTTTTTCATTGCTTGACTTCGTTAGACGTTTTTCCTTTCTGTTCGTTTCCCTTTGTGTCTGCTTCTTCTTCTTTTTTATGTTTGTCTGTCTCTGTTTTGTTTTTTTCTCTCTCTCTCAGGAATAGTAATGGTAATAAAGGTAATAATAATGGTGATAATGAAAATAATAATGAGGATAATAATAATGATAATAACAATATGATAATAAACATATTTATGTTAATACTGTTGATGATGATAATGATTATGATAACAACAACAATAATAATTATTATTGTTATTATTATTATTATCATTATTATCATTATTATTATTACTATTATTATTATTGTTATTATTATTATTATTATTATTAATATTATTATTATCATCATAATTATTATTATCATTATTATCATTATATTAATAATAACAACAAAAACAGTAATGGTGATCATGATGATAATAACAATGATACAAATAATAATAATTATCATAAAGATAATGATAATGATAATATTGATTATGAAGATGATAATAATGATAATAACAATGATAAAAACTATGATAATAACAACAATGATAACAATAATAACAACGACAATAATAATAATAATTTAAAAATAATAATAATAATAACAATAATAATAATTGTAATTATAATAATAACAATGATAACAATAGTAATAATAATAATAATAATAATAATAATAATAATTAATAATAATAACAATAGTAGTAAAAATAATGATGATTGATGATGATAATGATTATGGATGCGATGATGATGATAATAAAAATGTTAACAAAAATAAGAAGAAAAATAAAAATGATGATAGTCGTGGTAGTAGTAGTAGTAATAATAATCACATTGATGGTAATAATAATTATTGATGATGATGGAAATAATTATAATTATAGCAATGATAATAGTAATGATAATAATTATTATCCTTATTATGATTATTATTGTAGTTATTATTATAATGATTTATGATGAGGATAAAGATGATAATAACAATAATTGAATAATAAAAATGATAATCCGAATACTGATGATCATTATAATGACTGTAAACATAATCATAATAAAGATGATGATGATAGTAATGATGATAACATTTTGAAAGAAGACAAATATTATCATGATATTAGTGAGAGAGAAAGTGAAAGAGAGAATGAGAGAGAGAGAGAGAGAGAAGAAGAAGAAGAAGAAAAGAGAGAGAGAGAGAGGAGAAGAAGAAAGAGAGAGAGAGAGAAGGAGAAGAAGAAAGAAAGAGAGAGAGAAAAACAAGAAAGAGCGAAGAAGAGAGAGTACATGATCTTGAGATATGAAAGGAGTCCCTCGAAACTCGTATTGGTACTGAAGAAAATGTTAAGAGATTCATCGCCTTACAGAGGAGCAATGTCAAAAAAGCACTGAACAGACTAAGACTCAAAAGGCTATTTGTATTTTCTTTCTCAAAAAGGTTTATTATCTGGATACAGAATGGAGTCCTTCACCTGCTGAAAGGCTACTGAAGTACACTGTTGTATGGGATGAAAGAAAGCAGAGATCAGACGCTCGCTTGCAATACTTTGTTAAACGGGATGCAACTTTTCGTTCAGTTTGTACTGCTTCTGTGCAAGGTTTTGGGAAATGTATATTTATATTTCGGAAATCCAAAATATTTCATTGTAAAGTAAACACATAGAATCACTAAAATATAATTATATATATATGTGTGTGTGTGTGTGTGTGTGTGTGTGTGTGTATGTGTGTGTTTGTGTATGTATATATATATATATATATATATATATATATATATATATATATATATATATATATATATATATATATATATATATATATATATATCAAGTTATTAGATTATTAGGTTAGATTAAAGCATATGAGATTTCTGTTATAAGTATAGTCGCCGCCACCACCGCTGTTTTCATAGAAAAGGGAAAATACATTTCCTCTTCAGATGAATTAATAATCTTAAGAATATTAAAATCATAATTCTTGTAATAAGAGAATTAAGGAAACTAATGTTAAAATTTCCAGTATCCTACTTTTCCTATTGTATGAAAGTACTTTACATCTATGTTTCAATTCCAATATGCATTACTTAGTCTACTAAAGAAATCATAAATCTAATTCAGAGAATTTCCCAAAACTTGACGATTATAAAAGACAAGCCCTGCTTACCAAAATAATAATCAAAAGCAAAATGATAATAATACTAATAATACCAAAATAATAATCAAAAGCCGTAATTCCTTCCTCAGACGTCCAACGGAAAAGTGGGAGACCGACCCGAGCTCACCCTCACGCTCACTGGCTGCACATGCATGCTCATCATTACGATGTTCCATGATCATAGGACTTTCCACTGCTGCTCTCCACACGGGATTTTCCTTTTTCATTCAACAGTCGTGGAAGATTCTTAACTTTCCACATATGTTCCTCCTCAGAAACATCCGGTCCCCAGTATGTTATATTTTTTTTTATGCTAGAGTATTTAATATTGATAAGAGTGCATCAGGGGCAGTGGAAATTAGCTACTGTCGTCCTCTAATTCTATGTATATTTTTTTATCTGTTGAGTACGCCTTATCTGGCCTGGCCCCTTGTTAACAACATTTCTAATTTCAGCCTATCTACATGTTCTCTGTATACTTTCCCGTCGAAAATTCTTTTGCTTTTTAATACATCTCTGATCTCTTCTATAATCTTGTATGGACCTGTATATAACGGCTCCAGTTACTCACTCAACTCTACATTAGGGGTAACTTTAAGATATACCCTGTTTCCTTCCATGATTTGAAAAGGGTTGGCCTTCTCTGAACTTCTTCCTCAATTAATTCCCTACATTTCTTAAATATCTTGAAACCCATGACTTTTGTCTCTTGTAAACGAACAGAAGGCGCTTAGGGCCTAAGTGTAGACTACAGTGGTGGATAGTATCAAGGTGAGTAAAAAGAGAGGTAGAGGCAGAGGAACAGGTATGACAGCCATAGCAAGAGTGGAGAAAATCAGTGAAGTATGGAGATGGAGGAGAGTTTTGCGGTCTGACCCTCAGAATATGTGTGAGAGAGTCTGTGGGAGTCGGAGGTGGTGGCGGGTTTTCTCTCTGATGTAGAGTGTAATGTACCCTGAGGTCCACCTGGCTTATGATTTATATATATACGAACACATCTATTTGTATGGATATATACGAGTGCCGCCTAAAATGGCTCATGTTCGTTCTCTGTTAAGAATTATATTACATTTTCTTTTCAATTTAAGCATACACTATTTTATTTTCTAATATATTGTTTTTATTTTTCTCTCTATTAATATATATTTTTTCTACATCTTTTATAAGATGCTTTTTATTGCCAAATTTTACTGCATTATTTTTCTATTACTCTATTGCACTTAATTTTATTTTTAAAAAATATACCCCCGAATTACGTCTAGACCAATCAGGTTAACGGACGTGTAGCCCCAGCCAATCAGAGGCGTTCTAGGTCGTGCCCCTCCTGTGGTGATTTTTCAGGAGGCGTTAGTTCACGCTCACGCTCACGACAGTTTGTACATACGCTCTCGTTGACCCCTCCCCCCCCCTGGATATCGTAAA